GGACTCTCCCACTCCCCCCTCCCAAATACTCACACACAGTCACTTTAATCAGTCTAAATAAGCTCTTTTTGCACTACAAATCATTATATCTGCACTGTTGTTTACTTCACTGGTTTGCACTCTATCTGCCATGTGCCGTGTGCTGCTTTATACATATAAAAAAAAAAATTTTTTTTTTTTTTACATTTTACCTTATTTGTATATTTGTATAGTTGTATTTTATATTTAATCTGTATATCTGTATTTATGTTCTACTGTTAGTGTTATCTGTATGCACCAAGGGTCTGAGAGTAACGCAATTTAAATTCTCTGTGTGTATGTGCTGTACATGTGGAAGAATTGACAATAAAGCAGACTTGACTTGAAAGCTTAGAAGCTCAGCATTTATTTGATCAATTTAATGCGTCCTTGCTGAATAAAAGTAATCTTTCAAAATATTACTGACACCAAACTTTTGAATGTTAGTGTATATAAATTCAAAACACTTCTAAAACAAACAGCAATATCTATACTGACTTAATTTAGCTATTTAATAGCAGTTCTCAGAGCGCTGTTATTGTAAAGCAGAAGAATATTTATTGTAATACAACAAATTAATACACCTTAAAGAGTTTAAAACACCAACGTTAATGCCATACATGACATTTAGTAAACAGAGGCTTAAAAAAATTAAGGAAAAACATCAACACAGATGCACGTCAGTCTCTTTTCATAATCATCTTGTTCATTTCACCCACAAACAATAAATGTAATTAAGATTTCATTCTAATCACTTTTGCAATCTCAGGAAAATCGAGATTTCTCATGACAGCTCATAACTACCGTCATCCTCATCCAATAAAACTTACAATCGAATCAAAAACATTAAACCTAACACCAAGCTGATCTGAGGCTCCATAAGTAAACTATCTAAAGGCAAAAGCAAAAAAAAACACAAAAGTAAATCAAAAGTTTAAAAAAAAGTTTTTTTTTTTAATAAAAATTCAGTTATGACTGAAATTGGGTCTATTAGAATATGATCCTGCCTCAGAGTTTTGACTCAACTACGTTTAGATTTAGAAAAAAAACACGTAAAATTACCAAAGCAATCAAAGTTTTAAAACAAAATAAAACAAGCAGAAAAACACTCTGAAGCAATTTTCCTCGGCTTCAGTTGCATTTTGCCTTAGCACAGCAGTACAGTTCCAGTGAAATACACCAAACAGAAACCAGGCTGAAACTACTGCTGGTTTGACCTCCACTTAAGGTTTTCTGCACAGTACGAAATGTCTTGAGATACTCACAACACTTCAGACAACTCCAGATGTTCTCAAAGTAAGAGA